ATTGAACCATCCCTACATCTCTTGGATAAAGCTGACTTGATCATGGTGGATGATCTTTTTGATGTGTGTCTGTATGCGGTTTGCAAGTGTCTTGTTGAGAATTTTTGTATCTGTGTTCATTAAGGATATGGGTCTATAGTTTTCTTTTTTGGTTGTATCTTTACCAGGCTTTGGTATGAGAGTGATGCTGGCTTTATAAAAGGAATTTTTATTATAAAAGGGGGGTGAATGAGGCTGGGGAGTCAAGGCATGGAAGACTTGATGGACTTACCTGGAGAGAGGCTGGCAGGTTGTGCAGGCCCAGGCCGGTTTATTTTTTTAATACCTCAAGTGTATGGCATGATCTTTGTGTGCTGTGTGAGGAGAGAGAAAGTGATAGGGTCTCCCCGTATACCCAGCTGGCCAGGAACTCTATGTAGAGCACGTTGGCCTCAATCTCACAGAAAGTCCTGTGCCTTTGCCTCCTGAGTGCTGGGTTTAAAGGTATGTGCCATCAGCCAGCTAAGAGTATGGCTTTTAACTTGACATTTTACCTTTTTGAAGTAATTGGTTGGAAAGTTGCCTTTTGGTAGTTTTCCTTTCTGTTTAGTGAAACCAGGTAAAATTCTGATTTGGAATTGCACTGCAATGTCTTTTTCCTGCTGGCTTTGTGAGAGTCAGGAGTCCTAGCTCAGCCTTGACAACATAAAACCCAGATGGAATGTAGGTGAGGGAATGGAATGTTTACAGTAACCCTACCTTGTAATAGCCATCATCATAGAATAAATATGTTTTTCTGTCCTAACTTCATAGGGTGTGACTGAATGTTATGAATGTCATCCTAAGCCAACCCAGAGAACGTTTCCTGGCTGCACAATTCGGAACACCCCTTCAGAACCCATTCATTGCATCGTTTGGGCAAAGTATTTGTTCAAGTAAGATAATATATACTTCTGAGCATATTTTTCAATACTGCTAATGGGAAATGAGGTCATTTTTACTTAAATATCTTAGGCTGTATTTACAATGGTTAACTATGGTGGAGGGACACTACAGGTTTTCCTGGGTTAAATTCAGCAGCATTCTTTGCATGCTGTAGATGACATTTAGCATGTTTAGTCTGGTATTGGAGATAGGCATGCAACTAAATAAGTACAAATATGTACATTTGGAAATATGAAAACATACTTAAAAATAACCCATTGGTTAGACAAGATATCATAATGGAAGTTAAAAATACTTAGTAGGCCTGGGGTACGACAGTAGAGAACACTTGCCTGGTGTGCTGAAGTGCTGGGTTCTAACCCTAGCCCTGTGCAGCCCATCCACAACCAACACTGTAGAACATACCCTCAAACTCCTTCCATTCCTTGAGTGTGGTCCTTGGAGGTAGAGTTAGAGGTTTACATACATGAAGAAAGACTGAGCATTTATGATAATAAGAACCAAGTTTAAATGAGGAAGTGAGCCCCAGAATATATTAAAACGTAACACAGTGAAAAAAGGAAGCATATAGTTGAAAAAGAACAAAATCAACAAGTGTGATTACCAAATAGCAGAGCTGGGTAAGTATAACTTCAGCACACAGATTTACAGAAAAGTGAGAAGACAGAGTTGGCATGTATTCCCATAGTAGTTTTCCCATAACATTTAACTTAAGTGAGCTATGTGTGTCGTGACTAAGGAAGCTGTACTTATGACATCAGGAACTATTACATGTCCATAGTTATTACCTAGTCTTTTCCAGACTCCCATCACCACATTGGTTGTCCTGTCACTCTATTTTGTTTTTTTTGTTGTTGTTGTTTTATTTTTGAGACAGGATCTTATTATGTAGCTTTTGCTGGCATAGCGCTTGCTATGTAGACCAGGTTGACCTGGAACTCATAGAGATATGTCTTTATTTATTTTAGTTTGGAGACAGGGTCTTACTATGTATGTAGCTGACTGGACTGGAACTCGAATATGTAGACCAGGCTAGCCTCAAACTCAGAGATTCCCCTGCCTCTGCCTCCTGGGTGCTGGGATTAAAGGCGTGTGTTGCCATGCCTGGCTTTGAAAAATAGAAGGGAACGATAAGGTGGATGATCTCCCCCAACAGAAGTCAAGATTTAATGTAAACTAAAAGTAATTTTTACTGATACAGACTCTTGATCTCATGACCAAAATCCTATAGATCTCAGATGTAAGAAGGTGTGGTTGGTTTCAGTGTGGGTGAAAAAGTCTTACTTTCTAAGGAATATGTCTAAATCAGGGTAGATTAAGGGTCTAGATGTAACAGGAAACACTTAAATATTATAGGAGAAAATATCCTCAAGGAACAATTTTTTTAATATTTATTTTTGTTTTATGTATTTGAGTTTTTTGCCTGTATGTATGTAAGTATACCCATGTTGTACAATGCTCATGGAGGCCAGAAGAGGGTATTGAATGCCTTGGTGGGTGCTAGGAACTGAACCTGAGTCCTCTGTAAGAGCAGTCAGTGCTTTTAACCACTGACCCATCTTTCCAGCCCCACCTTCCCTGGTGTTTTGTGGGTTTTTTTTTTTTTTTGTCTTTTTGAGACAGGGTCTCCCTGTAGCCCCAGCTGTCCTGGAACTCACTATGTAGAGCAGGCTGGCCTAGAACTCACAGAGATCCACCTGCCTCTGCCTCCCGAGTGCTGGGATTAAAGGCGTGCACAACCACGCCCGGCTATTTGTTTGTTTTGTTTTTCTTTTTGTTTTTGATGACAGGCTTTAAAATTGGCATGTACAGAACCTAGCTGATAAAAATAGATATATAGCCAAAAATTATCTTTTGTGGCATCAGCAAACTCCGAACAAATTGCTTTAATGCTCTTTGGCTTAGGTACTGTGATTGTTAATTATTGGCTCTATCCCTTCAGACATTCAGAATATTTCAAGTTAATTATTTGTGGGAAAATAATCATATTTATTCTGAATGCCTTCTGTGTAAATATTTATTACTCTTAAATTATAGCCAGCTTTTTGGAGAGGAAGATGCTGATCAAGAAGTGTCACCTGACAGAGCTGATCCTGAAGCTGCTTGTGAGTAAACTTTTAGACTTAATTTCATCATTAGTGACGGTTGCCTTTATTTTGCTAATCTAACAGTGGTGGATTAGGAGGGAAGTAATGGTTGCTGTCATGTGCTTGGTGTCTTATTTCCTTTCAAAAGCTGTTTGCCAAAGAAGTGGTTCATTTCACTGATGGGGAAACTAGAATGAGAGATTTCACACATCTAATCATTGAGGCTGGGAGCAGGGCCAGCTTCTATTTATTTATAACTGAGGCACAAAAAGATGCTGATAAGCATGTTGTTACTATCTTTCAACTCAGAATGTTGCACACAGGTGACTTTGTTGAGTGACTCTTTTCTCCTACAGGTAAGAACTTACTCCATATTGGAAATACAATGTTTGTTTTATAGGGGAACCAACAGAAGCTGAAGCCAGAGCCCGAGCATCTAATGAAGATGGAGACATTAAGCGTATTTCCACTAAGGAATGGGCTAAGTCAACTGGCTATGATCCAGTTAAACTGTTTACGAAGGTTAGCTTCTTTTCTTCTCCGTGGTCCTGGCAATCTAATCCAGGGCCCCTCACATAATAACAGGATTCTTCCACTGAAGGTTGTATCCCAGCTAGCTTTACTCTTTGTACTTATTTAAAAATTTTTTATTTTATTTTTTATCTTTTAGGGGGTGTGGGCACAAGAGTGCCAAGGTGAATGTGGGGAAGTCATTTACCCACTGAGCCATCTTGCCAATCTCAAATCATATATGAATATGTTATTCTGAGTCTTTAACGTAGTACATAAAACTTGAGTTACTTTTTAGCTATGTGCTGATATCCTAACAAAATGATTGTAAAGCTGGGCATGACAGTACGTACGTGCCTTTAATCTCAGAGGCAGGTGAATATCTGTGAGATCATAGTCCGCCTGTTCTACATAGCAAATTCCAGGCCAGCTGAGAATACAGGGAGACCTTGTCTCAAAAAAATAAATAAGGGCTGAATGGATGTCTCAGCTGTTAAGTTCCAGGGGAGCCAACGCCCACTTCTTACCTCAACAGACATTGCACGACATATGTGCAGTTAGATACATGCAGGCGATACACTCATACACACACAAAAAGGATAATAAAATATTTTTAAAAAATAAAACTGTAGTCATATTAAGCAGGTTGGGAAATTTTAGTGCCTGTGCCAAGTGCAAGCATCTCTAGAGGCAGCCAGTACAGATTGGCTGTATACTCTGTTGGTCTTTCCAATGTCACTTTCACAGAATTTGGCTTTCTTTCTGTAGCCGTTTGTTTTGCTTTGATTTTATTTTCTGTAACAAGGTCTCCTGTAACCCTCAACTCTGAATATAACTTAGGGTAGCCTTAAACTCCTGATCCTCCCGCCTCCACGTCCAGAGTGCTGGAATTATGGGGTTGTGCCACCAGCCCACGAGAACTTGGTTTCTTTATAACCAATTTCCTGCTACTTCCTATCTTTGTTCTCATCTCTTTCCTACTCGGGTCTTCTGTTAGCAGTTTGGCTCATGTGTTCTAAATCACCCTTGAATCCTACACCTTTTGTTCTTCATTAATAATTGCTATTTTCTACTCAGTATTTCTAGAGAAGTCTTCGGGATGGTTTTAGTTTTGCCTACTTTATTACTAGTCAGCTAAGCCCTTGCTTCTGTTTATTATTTTATCCTCACTTCTGTTTTAAAAGCTTTTTTACAAAAATACTTTATCTATATTTTATGTGTATGAGTGTATTGCCTGCATGTAAGTACACCCCTGTCATGGAGTGCCCACAGAGGTCAGAAGAGGGCATCAGAGCCCCTGGAACTGGAGCTACAGAATGTTGTTAGCTGCCTTATGGGTCCTGAGAATTGAACCCAGGTCCTCTACAAGAGCAGCCAGTGCTCTTAACCTCTGAGCCATCTCTCCAGCCCGTTAAAAGCTTTTTTTAATGGGCAGGCATGGTAGCACCCTTTAATCCCAGTATTCTGGGATCACTGTGTTTGAAGCCAGCCAGAGCTTAATAGTGAGACCCTGTCTCAAAACAAAACAAAATAAACCTGAATGGGGGCTGGCAAGATGGCTCCGTGGTTAAAAGCAATTGGTACTCTGGAGGAAGACCTGGGTTCAGTTACCAGCACACACATGGCAGCTAACAACCATCTGTAACTCCAGTTCAAGGGGATCCAGCACCCTTTTCTGGCCTCCATGGGCACTGCGCAACATGAATGCAATTCACTTACATGCAGGCGATACACTCATATACATAAAAGTAATAAATAAAATAATTTTTTTTCTCTTAGTTTTTCCTTAAAATCCTTTTATTTTCCAAATTATCATACTGCAGTGATATTATTACACTGTGACTTCCATAACTTTTGTTATGAAAGTTTTCTTATTTTTTTATTGATTTTTTTTGTGAATTTAATACAACACATCTCAATCATGTTTAGACCCCTTCCTCTTTCTGCAACCATATCCCCCTGCCAGTGTTCATGCATTTTGTCATAAATTTTAAGGTCTACCAATCCAAGTCTGTGCTCCCAAATGTCCATTGATGTGAATCTATCTACAGGCGTCTGGCCTACCAGCTTAGTGTCACTCCCTGATAGAAAAACAACTTTCCTTCTTCGTGTAGTCATTGGTTGCCAACAGTTTCTTAGTTCATGTCAGGGGTTCTCACACATTTCCTCCTTATATGCTGGGGTTTTGTCTGATTTGAGCCTGTATAGGTCTTGGGCATGTTGTCACCATTGCTGTAAGCTCATAAAAACAACTTCACAGCTGTTTGGAAAACTCTTGTTTCCTTGTGATCCTCCACCAGCCCTGGCTCTTACAATTTTTCCAGTCCCTCATCAGCAATGGGCTCTAAGCCCTGGATGACAGAAGTTTGATATAGGTGCACTATCCAGGGACACACTCTGTAGTCTTATTCTCTGCCTTTTGGACTGTTTTCATTTCCTGTTTAACCATCATCTGCTGCATTAGGAAGCTCCGCCGATAAGAGTTGAAAGATGTGTTAGTATTCTCTTTGCACCCTCTTCTAGTATGTTCCCTGTGCCTCAGGTGTAGAGGTTCCATTGTACATGTGCCACACACAAAATAATAATACAATAAAAATTGTTTTGAAACATACAATGAATTTTTCTAATGAGAGCTGCGTGTGGTGGAGCACATATTTAATCTCAGAAATCAGGTAGTAGGGGCTATCTATGAGATTGAGGCCAGTCTGGTCTACATAGCAAGTTCTGGCCAGCTGGAAAAATAATGTTTTTTAGTCCCTGAAATCTTAACACATCTTCTTAGTCTACATGATCTTGTAGTAATCTATTTAAGAGTTTTGGTGCTTCGTTTTTGTCTTTTATTGGGGGGAGCATGTTTTCAAATTACAATAGTATAGAAATTCTGTGGCTGGGCTCTAATCAGTGGTAGAGCACTTGCTTAGTCTGTCCAAGGCCCTAGGTTCAATCTCAGCACTGAACAGGGAAAATAACAAGTTTAGTGTGTGTGCTTTCCTGGTGTGTAGTCACAGGCTGGGAGATAGTACCCACCAGTGTGTCTGTGTTCGGTGATTGTGTTCTTTGGAGTTGGTAGTCTTTATTGAGCCCTTTAGTTTTTCATTGGGCTTCAGACTGATCTTTGGTGTTGGGTGGTTTGGGGTGTGACAGAAGGGAGGGCAGTCTGCAGAGTTTAGAGCTTCCTCACCTTGTCACCCTGTCTTCTCCAAGTTTTTGAACTTTTACTATGGTTTTAAAAATTGTCACTCTACTATTTTTTTTTTTTTTTTTTTTAGACAGGGGCTCCCTGTAGCCCCAGCTGGCCTGGAACTAGCTATGTAGACCAGGGTAGCCTCAAACTCAGATCTGGCTGCCTGTCTCCTGAGTGCTACATGTAGGCATGCACTACCATGCCAGCCACTCTACTGTCTTTGAATCTGATTTTATAATATGACTGTAATAAATCAAAGAAATTTGGTACATTTTATCAATTTGAGGTCTGTAAGGACTCATGGGATTTATTCGTTTATTTTAGCTTTTTAAAGATGACATCAGGTATCTATTGACAATGGATAAACTATGGCGCAAAAGGAAGCCTCCAGTTCCCCTGGATTGGGCTGAAGTACAGAGTCAAGGTAAAAAGAACACTTCAATCCTTAGTGAACCTAAACTGCGTTTCATTGCCTGTTATTAGAACATATTTATATGTTCTAATAATTTTAAATTGTAAAGATAAGTCATTAGACACACCACTTAGAGAAGTAGCAACTCCCAGCATCCCAGAGAGATGTGCGGCCCACCAATGGAGTGTGTCGTTTACAGACTAGCTGTTCTTTTTAGTTGAGTGTCATTTAGCTAGGTTAGGATGTTGTTTCATTATTTCCTCAAAGTATTGTGAGGAGCACGTATATGAATCTGCCTTTTACCCTTGTCGTGATTTCAAGATTTAATTTAGAAAAACATCTTTAAAAAACCCTAAAATGTTGGGGGCTGGAGAGCTGGCTCAGTGGTTAAGAGCATTGGCTGCTCTTGTAGAGAACCTGGGTTCAATTCCCAGACATTAACATAAGTAGAAGTTTGTTGATTTAAGACAAGTTTATAATTACTTGCTATAGGTCAGTCCTTCTGGTGGCTGTGGAAGCTTCATGTTTTCTTTGGACATTGTTAGACGTCTTAGCTCTTGAAGCACAACCTTAATGCTATAGACATTTTGCCATTATGCTCTGCATCCACCTGTGGAGACCGCCGTCTTTTCCTCCAGCCCTCAGCTGCACACACAACATCTTGTATCTCCATAAAATATTTTTTAAAATAAATATTAAAATGTGGAGAGAGGTTGTGGGGGTTTTGTTGTTGTTTTGGATTTGTTTTTTGGTTTTAGTTTTTGTTTGTGAGACAGGGTCTCACTGTGTAGCACACTAGCTGGTCTGTAACTAAACCAGGCTGGCCTCAAACTCAAAATTTGCCTCTGCCTCCCAAGTGCTGGATTAAAGGTGTTTAAAATTTTTATTTCAGCCAGGCCTGTTGGCACACGCCTTTAATCCCAGCACTCAAGGAAGAGGCAGGCTGATCTCCATGAGTTCGAGGCCAGCCTGGTTTACACAGCTAGCTGGGGCTACAGGGAAGACCCTGTCTCAAAAGACCAAAAAAAAATTTTTTTTAATTCAAGGAAGTAAAACTATTGTACTTCCTTCTCCTCTTCTACCTTAGCATACTGTGACCCCTTTCTCAGCTACAATGCAGTTAGGAGCATAGTGGGACTTGTAGGGTCCCAGGAAACTTGAAACTTGGCAGTTCTCAGCAGTACAATTTCCTTAATGGAGTAGGTAAACTGTAGCCTGACGATAGCTTCCACTCATCAAAGTGCTGACTGTACTGGGCATAGTGTGACTCTTATCTTTTTAGCTACATTATGTTCTTGAATCCACCAGTAATTTGAATTCTAACATGATCGTAGATCTTTCCATTTCAAGTTGAACAGTTTTCTTGTACAAATACTTATATAGATGATTATTTAAATGAAATGTGCTTTATTAAAAAATTTTCTTAATGGTCAAGAGTTGAATTTGTTAAATAGAATACATTGTAGAAGTAGGATGTTTATTAAAATTTCTTATTTATTTTTAGGAGATGAAGCCAATGCATCCGATCAACAAAACGAACCGCAGTTAGGTTTGAAAGACCAGCAAGTTCTAGATTTAAAGAGCTATGCAAGTCTTTTTTCAAAGAGCATTGAAACTTTGAGAGTTCATTTAGCAGAAAAGGGGGATGGAGCTGAGCTCATATGGGATAAGGTTTGTTTGAAAATGTATCACTTACTTTCATACCTAATTTCTATCTTTGTTCCTGAGCTGTAAAAGAAGTTAACCTTTTGGGGGGTGGTACTTACTTGGTGTAAATGTATTCATCCCCCATTACTGTATTTGAATTAGGACTTTCTGTATATAAATTTAAGCAGTATCAAAAAATTTCATTTTGGATTCTAGTAATGTATTCAGTTTGATTGTATTGACTAGAAACATAATTTACTATAGTGGAATGTTTCACTGACTTAGAGGAGCAGGCTTAAAACTCATATGTAACAGATAAATTAATAGAGGTGAACGTGCTTGAGAACCAGCAGCTCACTTGCCTAATTTGACCTTGAAAACAGTAAATTCCCTGCTTTCATGCAGGTGCACACATATACATGTATATGGGGGATTGAGCCTAGGGCCTTTCTAAGCTAGACAAATACTGTACTACCAAGATACATCTTTAGCTCTTGTTTTATGAGATAGGATCTCACTATGTAGCTCAGGTTGGCCTTGAATTTGTTGAGAGCATGCACTGCCACACCCAGTTGTAAAATTGCTTTTCTGTTGAAGTAGACCCCATGTTTCAGAAGTCCAAAAGAAAAGCCAAGAGTGGTAGCTCACCCCTGTATTCCGGCACTTGGGAGAGTGAGGTAGGATTACCAAGTTTGAGGCCAGTCTAGATGACAGACTTGAGAACCTGTCTCAAAAAAAAAAGGTCAGACTTTTCGATACAAAAAAAGATGAAATTTTTCTGATTTTTGTTGTGTTTGGGGCAGGGTGTCTAGCCCAGGCTGAACTCAAATTCCCTGTGTAGCAGAGAATGACCAAAGCTTGTGTGTTCTACATCTGTAAAGATTTGCCCTGGCGGCCAAGAATGTGCCTTGCCTCATTAGTAGAGTGCTCACCTACATGAGGCCTTGCTCTCAATCCCAAGCATGGGCAGGAGGAAAAAAAATGCTGTGGGTTTCAGAGTAAAAGGAAACCAGCTTTAGAATCACTTTGTATGAATTTTGAAACTTTGGTTGAATCAGACATCTAAAAACAAAACTGGTAAATTTAGAATTTTGAAATTCTTGTAAACACTAGTCTCTTGGGTTAATGTGATAAAAATGGTAGGCTTTAAAATATTTTCTTTGTTATTCTAGTGATTTGGAAAGTATTTATTCACTGGGGCCAAATAAGGAGCCCATAGAACTGAGGAGTACTTCCCTAGTGATTGTATACCTAATGGTATCATAAGCCATTTCTTTTTCCTTTTGGTCTTTTTGAGACAGGGTCTCCCTGTAGCCCCAGCTGGCCTAGAACTCACTAAGCAGACCAGGCTGCCTTGAACTCACAGAGATGTGCCTCCCAAGCACTAGGATCAAAGGTGTGCACCACCATGCCCAGCCTATAAACCATTTCTTTAAAGGCATTTTCTATAGCTGGGCATGGTGGCGCTCGCCTTTAATCCCAGCACTCTGGAGGCAGAGGCAGGCGGATCTTGGTGAGTTCAAGGCCAGCCTGGTCTACATAGTTCCAGGTCAACTGGGGGCTACAGGGAGACCCTGTCTTAAAAGGACCACCAAAAAAAAAAAAAAGAATAAAGACATTAATAAAGGCATTTTCTAGAGTGAAGTAGCTGCATTCACTCAAGATTCACTCAAGAGCTTAGCAAAAAATAGAGGTAGAAGACCTGGAGAGATGTCTCAGTGGTTAAGAGCCCTGGTTGCTCTTACAGGGGACCTGGGTTTGGTTCCCAGCACCCACGTGGTGGCTAACAACCGTCTGTAGCTCCAGTTAAAGAGTAGTGGTTCTTGGTGTTCTTGTCACACACTCTGTCTAGAAAAGCAGATTGGCCCCCGCCCCTTATGGCCAGCCTCTGTGCTACTCACTGTGAGGCCTCAACATCATGATGTTCTGGCTACAATGTCATAAACAAGTAAAAATGACTCTTCTGAAAGCAGTGCTAGTCAGATGACTGATTGTGGGAAATCTTGTCATTTCTGTCTGGCAGGATGACCCATCTGCGATGGATTTTGTCACCTCTGCTGCAAACCTCAGGATGCATATTTTCAGCATGAATATGAAGAGCAGATTTGATATAAAATGTAAGTTGTTTTGTACTTCAGTTGTATCGTCAAAACCTCAGTGTGGACATTCGCCTTTAACAGCTTAACATGCTTGTCTTTTCATCTTTTAGCAATGGCGGGAAACATTATTCCTGCAATCGCTACTACTAATGCAGTGATTGCCGGATTGATAGTATTGGAAGGATTAAAGATTTTGTCTGGAAAAATAGACCAGTGTAGAACAGTGAGTATTTGTATTTCTGTTCTGTTGTTGTTTGTTTTAAATATTTATTATTTTTATTTTATGTGTATGAGTGTTATTGCCTACATGTATGTGAGTGCACCCATGTCATACAATGCCGTGGAGGTCAGAAGAAGGCGTTGGATTCCCCTGGAACTGGAGTTAACCCGTTTGTAACTCCAGTTCCAAGGGAGCCAATGACCTCTTCTGACCTCAAACCCAGGGAGTCATGCTAGCTAGTCAAGTGCTTCTCCTACTGACAAATGCTTTTGAGGGACTGGAGAGATGACTCAGCCTGCATGTATGTAAGTACACCCATGCATACAGTGCCCATGGAGGCCAGAAGAGAGCTTTGGATCCTTTGGAACTGGAGTTAAGGATTATTGTTAGCTTCCATGTGGGTGCTGGGTCCTCTACAAGAGCAGCTGATGAGTGCTGTTAACCACTGAGCCATCTTTCTTGCCCAAAAATACATATTTTAAAAAGTATTTATTATTTTATGTGCATGTGTGTATTGCCTGCATGTAGGTAAGTGTACCCGTTTTGTACAGTGCCCACAGAGGACAGAAGAGGCTCTCGGATCCCCTGGAACTGGAGTTACAGACAGTTGTTAGCTGCCATGTGGGTGCTGGGATTTGAACCCAGGTGTTCTGCAAGAACAGCCAGTGTTCTTAACCACTGAGCCATCTCTCCAGCCCTCTCAAAAATATTTTTCTAAGGGTTTTTGGTTTTTTAAGAGTCTCACATAGCCCAGGTTGACCTCACTTTGTAACTAAGGATGGCCTGACCTATCCTCATGGCTTTGCCTCCCAAATACTAGAATCATGTGCACCTCCATGCCCAGCCTGATTTTTTTTTTTTTTTTTGTGTCTTTGAGACAGGGTCTCCCTGCAGCCCCAGCTGGCCTGAAACTCACTATAAAGACCAGGTTGGCCTACACCCGGCTTTTTTCTTTTTTCTCTTTTTTTTAATGTGTGTAAGTGTATTGCCTGCATGTAGGTAGGTACACTGAAGTCATGCAGTGCCCACGGAGGCCAAAGAGGGCGTTGGATCCCCTGGAACTGGAGTTACAGGTGGTTTTTAGCTGCCAACGTGTGGGTGCTGAGAATTGAATTCAGGTCCTCTGCAAGAGCAGTAGTCAGTGCTTTTTAAGTGCAGCGCTGTCTCTCCGGCCCCCCAGCTTGATTTTTTTTATTAAAGTTTAATTTTCACTGCCATGTTTTTAATTTCTGAGAACTTTTTTAAAAAGACAGTCCATTTTTACAACAAGCTGAACTTTTCCTACAGATTTCAGTATCCATTTTAGCTCACAGACCACTGGTTATTGAGATAGAAGTATCTGTCCACTGTTGGACTGTTCCCACTTAAAGTGGCTGAATTTCATTTGTTCACAGTTAAATACGTATCAGAGTGGATTAATCATGTTAGTTTGGGTGTTAATGGTCTTGTGTATAACACGCTGTGTTGCAGGCCACAGCCTCAGTTGTACTCCATTACTGTTGATTCCTTTTGAACACTTTCTGTCCTGATGAAGCCCCAAGTCATATAAATCTCTTCTCCCCTTTGCTCTGCTTAGTCTATCCAGTTTGCTTCCGGACATGCTCCATGACATGCATGCATCGTAGAGAATGGTTAGAGAGGGAGCGGGGGGAGGCTTTGCTCTCTGGTTGATGGACTGGCTTCTCTCTAAGCTGGAGGAATCTTTGGGTTTTTATGTATGAGGGTTTTTTTTCTTTTCTTTTTTTTAAGACAGAGTCTCCCCATAGCCCCAGGTGACCTGGAACTCAGATCTGCCTGCCTCTGCCTCCTGAGTACTGTGATTAAAGGCATGTGCCATTCCACCTGGCCTACCTTGGTTCTTAGTTTTGTTTCCTGTATAGATATTTCAGAAATGATGTTACTACCAGAACTACATCATTTTTTCTTTAATTATTTTAAATTATTATTTATATCCCTAATTTTCTCAAAATTTGAATCATCACATTTTGTTTGGAAAGGCTGTCGCTTTGGTTCCAGATGTCTTTTAAAACATTATCATTAATTGCCTAAATACTGGTCTTGTTGAGAGTGGTTAAAAGTTGATAAGCATAAATACTGGGTGTGTCTTGTGTCATACCAAGGAGGTGTCTTTTTCATTATGCCCACCCTTCTCCATAGTATCGGATCAGAAACGGTTACAAAACCATGACTCCTATAAAGCTCATGATTTTCCTGATTCTTTTGTTGTTGCTGCCGTTTTGAGATATGGTCTCACTATGTAGCCCTGACTTCCCTTGGGGCTCACTCCTCCTGCCATTTGGTCATATATATTAAGACCTCTTGAGTCAAGTTTGTATCCCCAGATGTCCCTTGGTGTTGAGTTCATCCACTAGAGCCTGTTCAGCCTAAGTAGTGTTGCTCCCTTTAAGAAGACCAACTCTCCCTCATCCAGCAGCTATCAGCTGCCAATAGTTCCTTAGCTAAGGTTGAGGCTTCTTACTCATTTTCCCTTCTATGCTGGGTTTTTCTGGTTTGGGTCTTGTGCATGCTGTCACCGTTGCTATAAGTTCTTCCTGGCCTTTTTTTTTTTAACATCAAAGGGGAATATTCAAGCTATTTTCTGATTGGATATACATTAAACAAGATTTTAGGCTCACGTATAAAATTGTAACATTTCTAATTCCTACTTGTGTTTTTTCTCTGAAGATTTTTTTGAATAAACAACCAAATCCAAGAAAGAAGCTCCTCGTGCCTTGTGCACTGGATCCTCCCAATCCCAATTGTTACGTGTGTGCCAGCAAGCCAGAAGTGACTGTGCGGCTGAATGTCCATAAAGTGACCGTCCTCACCTTACAGGATAAGGTACACTTGAGGGCCACTTCTCTTCCTTTTAAAAAGAATCTAAGTTCTGACTTAGCCTTTACAGTGTCACTGTAACAAACTGAACAGATCATGGCTCTGTAAGGCTGTGGCTGCTTCTCCATCTATGGTTCCAGGGTATGTGTCTTGTGACCTAGAAAGGTGTAGGTATATTTGGGTGGAGTATGTACCACGTGCACAGAGGGGCACAGTATCATGACAAACAGAAGACAGACAGCGAATACATTCTGTGTTTTTGACAGGTGACAGGTATCCTTATGTTGTCTTGGCTATGGTAGTGAACAGATACTTCATTCATAATACTTGGCTAAAGAAAAGTTTCTGTTTATAGTAAAGCAAAGCTGTAGTCGACAACTTGGTCTTGAAGGCTGTGGGCACCTGTGGTGCTTCAGGTGCTCCAGATGTTAGACAGTGTTTGTTCCTCCAAACTAGGGGTTAGTATTTGCTGAGATGTAGCGTGGTGATGGTGCATGGCTTTTCTGTCATGCTCTGGTTCTAGAGTGCTGAGTCGAGTCCTGAGGAGATCCAGTTTTGTTCCAAGGAGTCACATGCAGAGCTGGCCTGAGAGAGATAGGCTTTGAGATCCGTCTGGCCTTTGGTTCCTCCCAAGATGTCACTCCTTACTTGAGGCCCAAACTTAGGGGCTATCCTTTGACTGTGTGCTTCACTGTGCTCCATACCTCCTGAGGCAGGGGAATAAGCCTTTCCAATTGGTGGCCTTCTTCCCGGAGCTGGTTATACAGGCAGACATACTCACACTCATGTTTGATAGAGAAGCAGTAGACCGTGGGGAGCTGCACTCATAAGGTGCTTGCCAGTCTTTCATAGGAGACAATTGACTGTTAGGCATAATGGAATTTCTCCTCCAAGTGGAATGCTTAGACCTCTAGAGAGATTTTCCATTATTCCTTAGAAGGAGATGGGATTTAGCAGAATATTCCAAGTTGCATCTTGGAATTTAAGGAGAGAAAGGCTATCTGAGATGAGATTATAAGGCATTTTTCTGTCAAACACCTTCCATCCCAGGGTTGACACAGACTGGGTAGTGCCCATGTGCAGCCCAGTTGTAATGTGTAGGAATAGAAAAAGAACAAACTAGCAGTAGCAATAAGTACTGCTGAGGCATCTCTCCAGCCCCAAGAAAGAATAGGGTAGGGCCAGTGGGAGGGCCCAGGGGTGGAAAGCACTTGCTGCACAATCCTGACAACTTAAGTTTGATGTCTGGGGTCTCAGGGTAAAAGAAAGATCCAACTTTGAAAATTTTCCTCTGATCTCCACATGTATGCTGTGGCATGTATGTGTTGGCACTCACATGCATGTATCATGCAGAAACATACGAGAGAAATAAAAAGAATAACAGACTATTTCCAGTGGAGAAGAAAAGTAAACCTTTATAGAAAAGAAGTCTAGGGCTTTTATGGTCTTTAATTACCTACGTTAATTCATACTTGAATTTTTTCTTTGTAGATAGTGAAAGAAAAGTTTGCTATGGTGGCGCCAGATGTCCAAATTGAAGATGGGAAAGGGACAATCCTGATATCTTCAGAAGAGGGAGAGACTGAAGGTATTACCTTGCTCTGTCCCATCTCATGGGTGACCAGCCTCAAGCAGGGACAAGCACTCACTGGCTGGCTGCTCCTTGCCTGTCTTTATTCAATGGGGAAGACTTAAGATAAGCCCATTCTTGCTACGTAGTGGGAATTTATTTTTCAGTGCTGGGAATCAAACCCAGAGCCTTGCACGTACTTGGTTAGCCACTCTACCACTGAGCTTGCTTGAGATTTAGTGTTGGGCTGGGATGTATCTTGGTTGGTATTATGCCAGCTTAGAATGCACGAAGCCCTGGGTTTGGTCCCCAGCACTGTGTAAAGCTGTCATGGTGACACACACCTATAATTCCAGCCCCCAAGAAGTGAAAGTGGGAAGATCAGAAGTTAAAAGGACAGTCTTGGCTACATAGCAAGTTGGAGGCCACCTTGGGACAAATGCGACACAGTCTTTTTTTTTTTTTTGGTCTTTTTGAGACGGGGTCTCCCTGTAGACCAGGCTGGCCTTGAACTCACAGAGACCTGCCTGCCTCTACCTCCCGAGTGCTGGGTTTAAAGGTATGCACCACCATACCCAGCTGGCAACACCATCTTTTAAAAAAAGATTTAGTGTCAGGATTCTTATTACTGGTAATTACTTGTTGAAAAACTGTTTGAGTTGTTAGGTTGTCTGTAATTAGCGGTTGTGCATTGGCTGGGTACTGGTCTAATTTAGGAATCTGGTTGAATATTCAAGCCCTATTCTAGCCACCTGTCTTTATGTCCCCCAAAAGTTAGTTATAGTCTATATGCTGAGTTTACTAAAAAGTTGATGATAGTGCGGTTGACAATCTCTTTGTGAGTAGAATATATTAAAGGACTCTGAAAGTTGCTTTGACTCTTACAGGATTCCAGAATTAATTTGTTTGAATGGAGATTTTCATAGTTCCTTCTTGTTGGGTCCACTTAAAGTGGTTTTGGCAGTTGAATATTTGGGGCTGAGTTCCTAAGTGCCTAATGCTTCAGTGTGTTAACTTGCTGCGGCTGTAACAGCCCCACAGCCCTAGAGGCTGCAGTTCTGAGGCCAGTGTGAGCAGGTTTCCTTCCCTCTTAGTCTTCTTGCCAGTCTGTGTCTTCATCCCCAGTCTCAGAGTATAAGACCTTTTTGGCCCATGCTGGATTTGAACTTGATGTGGACTTAGGATGACCTTGGGTTCTTGATCCTCTTCCTCCACCTTCTAAGTGCTAAGATTACAGACATGTGCCACTGTGCATCAAAGGGCTATTTTTAATTAATCACCACTTTTTTTTTTATGTGTATGAGTGTATTGCCTGCATGTATGTGAGTACGCCCATGCCGTGCAATGCCTCAGAGGTCAGAAAAGGGCTTTGGATTCCCCTGGAACTGGAGCTAAGGATGGTTTGTAGCCGCCATGTGGGTGCTGGGAATCGAGCCCGGGTCCTCTGCAAGAGTAGTCAGTGATGGCTTAACTGCTGAGCCATCTTTCCAGCCCCATAATCACCACTTTAAAAAAAATATTTTTATTTTGTGTGTATTGTCTGCACATGTGTTAAGTGCACCCGTGTCATGCAGTGCCCAAGGAGGACAAAAGAAGACATCCAATCCCCTGGCACCGAAGTTAAGGACAGTTGCTAGCTGTCATGTGGCTGCTGGGTATCGAACCCAGGTCCTCTGCAAGAGCAGCCCATGCTTTTAGCTGCTGAGCCATCTTGCCAGCCCATTAATCACCACTTTTAAAAAGCTGTCTTTTGGCCAGGCATGGTGGTGCACGCCTTTAATCCCAGCACTCGGAGGCAGAGGCAGGCGGATCCCTGTGAGTTCAAGGCCAGCCTGGTCTACATAGTGAGTTCCAGGACAGCTGGGCTACAGGGAGACCCTGTCTCAAAAAGACAAAAACAAACAAACAAACAACAAAAGCTATCTTTTGAAGTGGTCACTTTCTTAGGTGCTATGGATTAGGATTTCAGAATGCCAACTATGGAGGGACACAGCCCAGCCATACCAGGGTTAGCTTTGTAAGAACTGATCTGCCTTCTCTGTGGAGATGTAACTAAACCTTCATTCTCTCCGTATTTTCCAGCTAATAACCCCAAGAAGTTGTCAGAATTTGGAATTAGGAATGGCAGCCGGCTTCAAGCAGATGACTTCCTTCAGGATTATACTTTATTGATCAACATCCTTCATAGGTAATAACCGTTAATGCTGAAGGTTAAGAAATTATTTGAGCCAGGCTTGGTGGCACACACCACTGATCCCAGCACTCAGGAGGCAGAGGCAGGTAGATGGATCTCTTGAGTTCCAGGCCAGCCTGGTCTACATAGCGAGTTCCAGGGCAGCTGAGGATACAGGGAGACCCTGTCTCAAAAAGACCAAAAGAAAAATTTATGAGTGTTTTGCCTACCTGTATGTAAGTGTGCTGTGTGCATGCCTGGTGACTGTAGAGGCCAGAAGAGGGGGTTGGATCCCCTTGAACTGGAGTTAGGAATGGGTATGAGCTGCCATGTGGGTGCTAGGAATTGAACGCAGGTCCTCTGCAAGAATAGCCAAGTGCTTTTGACACTGTGCCACCTCTCCAGCCCCTCCTCTTCCCCTTTTGTTCATTCTAGTCCATTGTGCACTAATACTCTGAATGAAGTATGTGTGTGTATCAGTCCAGTGACCTGGTGGAAAAGGGGTTTAGAGTGGTGTTAGCTGGGTGTTCATTTGCTTTGATGATATTACTGTCTGTTTGCAAACATCTATGGTAGCTGGTTAAAGAATATTACATTTTAGCTGGGCGTGGTGGTGCAGACCTTTAATCCCAGCACTCAGGAGGCAGAGGCAGGCAGATCTTTGTGAGTTCAAGGCCAGCGTGTTCTACATAGTGAGTTCCAAGACAGCAAAAGACCAAAAAAAAAAGAATTATTACATTTTAGCTGGGCGTGGTGGTGCACACCTTTATTTATAAAAAGCATAAGATGGCAAAGACTTTGAGTTATTAGAACTATAAATTCCATAATTATATAAAGGAATCAAAGGTAAATGTCACTGTGTGTGATCTCTAACCTCTCTTGGACACCAGCTAGGTAGAGGTGGCATACTTGTGTTCACTGGGAATGAAAAGACCCAGGAAGTCGTGAACAGTAAACTGGAAGTTTTGTGTGCTGTCTGAAAAAGGAAGCATAATTAGGGCGTTGGGATTTTTCTTACCGTTTCAGCTTACTGTTTTAGCTTTCTGGAAACAGAACCCCCTTAAGAAGCATGTAAGTCATCTGTTTGACTTCATGCATGTTTGGGGGATTCATGTATAAACATAAGGTTCCCCTATAAGGATGGGGAACCCAGAAAGCACCTCGAAACTGACCCAGAAACAGGGAGATAAGTCATAGTGGAGTGTCATGTCTTTGGGCATAGGGGCTGAAGGAATGGTGACTAAGGGTCACACTGAGCTGCAGACTTTCTGACTCTGTTTTCTGTGTTAGCAATGAAAAGCTGTAGATCTTGAAAGATAAAGCCGTTCAGACTTGAAACTGCATCCGCTTTTATCATTTGAATTAGAGTTCTTGAATTATCACAGGATTCTGTTCTGCAGTCTGTATGATAGTTTCATGATGATCAGAACCTGGTCAAGGTGTGGTGCTCACTCTGGGGTATGAGGTCTCTGCTTTCCTGTGCATGTAGTGGTTCCAGTTTACAGTGTGTGGTTCTCTTACAGTGAAGACCTAGGAAAGGATGTGGAGTTTGAGGTGGTTGGTGATACCCCAGAAAAAGTGGGGCCCAAACAAGCTGAAGACCCTGCCAAAAGCATCACCAATGGCAGTGATGATGGTGCCCAGCCTTCCACCTCCACAGGTGAGTCACCTACCATGTCAGTGGATCTGGAACAGTTGCCTATGTTTGTGAATGTTGCCTTAAATACCCAAAAATGCTAGAGGTGTGTTGGTGTGCCATTTATTTTATGATAGAGCTTTGAGTGTATAAACCATGAAGACCTTTAAAACTGGGGGAAATTCTTAGAGGAAATGGAATCCTTTTCCTCCATCTCCTTATATGGATTTCAAGGTGGGAGCTGTCAGTGACCTCCCTGGAAATCACTGGGTGGTTGGTTCTGCCTGTGTGGCAGACTATCTGTTCTGTTTGGGGGTCAGCAGATGAGTGCATCTGACTTGAGTGAGCAGGTGCTTTGGGGAAAGCATGGCACTCCGGCATGGCAATTTCCTATCGAAAAACGCCAGGTTTATTCCCTGGGTTTCCAGTGCGCACTTGCTACCTTATCACCTTTTCAGATACCTGGTTCTTCACTGTCTCTGACTGGACTGTTGTCCCTGACCTCCCCTCTGTTCCTTTTACTCAGGAAGCTGGAGGCTAGATGCTCTTCTGTCTCCATTATTTCACCACTTTGCTTTGGCATTCTTTTTTCGGTCTTTTTT